CGGGATGACATCATGTGTGTCTGTTTGGACCCGCGGGGTCGTGACGCTCCCTTGCCTAGTGACGTCACACGTGTGCGTGTGTGTACACAGTAGTGACGCTGCCAGTCACTACATATACAACAGGTCTCACTCCGAATCAGTCGAACGGCATTCTTTTCATGCTGAGTGATGCTGTGTGTAAGCCAACCTGTAACTCCACACAAAGCTCCGAGTCTTTTCGGCCACAGTTATGCCCTCCCTGCTCTATGTTTGTGCAATGTGTACCCCTCAAATGGAACATCTGTGCCAGTTTGAAACATTCAGACTGGCCTGCCTAGGATCCTTCCTGGGTTTAACCCAAGTGGATTGTGTGAGGAGCTTACAGCCTTGAAAGATCTGGACACAGTCAAATTGGTCAGCTCCTCCGGCTAGCAAGGCTGCATCGGCTGGGTCGTGTAGCCTGCATGGCTTGCCACCGTTTGCCCAAGCAACTTCTACTCTATACTCTTTGGTTCTTTCGGTAAAGTCACGTAGGTATAAAATAAAATAAATCACGACGTTTCGGGCGCAACAGAATCGTCCGTCATCATTTTATTTTATACCTACGTGACTTTACCGAAAGAACCAAAGAGTATGGATTCCTGCAGTCACGAAATCTTAAAATCAAGATTGAAGCAACTTCTGTTGGTCAGATAGAGGGGAATAAATTATGCGACGGGCTGGAGAAGAGACGAGCTCATGTGGAACGTGAGGATGTGGAGTTAAGCGGACTCGCCGATGACTGATACCAGCGGTGTCAAGATTGGCCTCTTTGGAGGAGGCTCGTGGAGGACGCTACTGGGCAGTTTAAGTTTTCAGTTTCATTTATTTGGTATAGCCCTGTGAGCCATTCGGCTCTTGAATCGGGTGCAGCCGCAACAAACAAAAAACAAAAACATGAACAAGAAAACATCTTAAAGTGACTATGTGACTGTCACTTTAAGATGTTTTCTTGTTCATGTTTTTGTTTTTTGTGCTAGGCAAGGTGCACTATGAGGCTATTAGGCAGCTGGTGGTATTCGAAACAGCGATGCTCACAACGAACAGAGCGCCGGGCAGCTAAAATACAGCAAGTTGGCACAGTGGGGGGCACAGGTGGTTTATCTGCCAGTCATCTCAGTCAACCTGTTACACCTGGGTCTTGTCCCTGGATCTGCCGGCGAGTCTTCCACACTTCACGTGGCCTCCAAATGCACCTCGCTTGTATGTATTTACAGTAGATCATTGATTAATTATTCGGCGGCTGTTGTTGGTGTGCGTGAGAGTTAATCGATTAACATTCCAGTTTCGCAACTCGATTCTTTATACATTCATGAGATGTGAACTGCACAGCACACAATCCACGTAGGGCAGTGCTGCAGCACACACGCGGGAATTGCACTTACACACTGCCAGGCAGCACACATGCATCGCGCTGTCGGGCACAAAGCGTGACGGTGTCCGCAGTGAAGTCACGACGACAGACAGCGTCGGCCACCACGTTAGGTGTCAGCCATTTCAGAAACCAATTTTAAAATATTTGTATTGCATGTCATTACGTGTTTGTCTGTGTACGCGTGCGTGTATGTATGTGTGCGTGTGTACATATGTATATATCTTTGTGTGTGTGTGTGAGGTATGATTGCGATTGAGTTATTGAGTGAATGGATTAATTAATGGGTCTGTGTTGTGTGGGACCTTTTTTCCCTGTATCAAAATGATGAAAAATGAAGAACCCTTTCTGGCAATAGGTGTACAGTGAGGGAAAAAAGTATTTTATCCCCTGCTGATTTTGTACGTTTGCCCACTGACAAAGAAATGATCAGTCTATAATTTAAATGGTACAGTGAGGGAAAAAAGCATTTGATCCCCTGCTGATTTAGTCTATAATTTTAATGGTAGGTTTATTTGAGCAGTGAGAGACAGAATAACAACAAAAATCCAGACCCCCTCTCAATCAGAAAGATTTCTGGCTCCCAGGTGTCTTTTATACAGGTAACGAGCTGAGATTAGGAGCACACTCTTAAAGGGAGTGCTCCTAATCTCAGCTTGTTACCTCTATAAAAGACACCTGTCCACAGAAGCAATCAATCAATCAGATTCCAAACTCTCCACCATGGCCAAGACCAAAGAGCTCTCCAAGGATGTCAGGGACAAGATTGTAGACCTACACAAGGCTGGAATGGACTACAAGACCATTGCCAAGCAGCTTGGTGAGAAGGTGACAACAGTTGGTGCGATTATTCGCAAATGGAAGAAACACAAAAGAACTGTCAATCTCCCTCGGCCTGGGGCTCCATGCAAGATCTCACCTAGTGGAGTTGCAATGATCATGAGAACGGTGAGGAATCAGCCCAGGACTACACGGGAGGATCTTGTCAATGATCTCAAGGCAGCTGGGACAATAGTCACCAAGAAAACAATTAGTAACACACTACGCCGTGAAGGACTGAAATCCTGCAGTGCCCACAAGGTCCCTCTGCTCAAGAATGCACATATACATGCCCGTCTGAAGTTTGCCAATGAACATCTGAATGATTCAGAGGACAACTTGGTGAAAGTGTTGTGATCAGATGAGACCAAAATGGAGCTCTTTGGCATCAACTCAACTCGCCGTGTTTGGAGGAGGAGGAATGCTGCCTATGACCCCAAGAACACCATCCCCACCGTCAAACATGGAGGTGGAAACATTATGCTTTGGGGGTGTTTTTCTGCTAAGGGGACAGGACAACTTCACCGCATCAAAGGGACGATGGTCGGGGCCATGTACTGTCAAATCTTGGATGAGAACCTCCTTCCCTCAGCCAGGGCATTGAAAATGGGTCGTGGATGGGTATTCCAGCATGACAATGACCCAAAACACACGGCCAAGGCAACAAAGGAGTGGCTCAAGAAGAAGCACATTAAGGTCCTGGAGTGGCCTAGCCAGTCTCCAGACCTTAATCCCATAGAAAATCTGTGGAGGGAGCTGAAGGTTCGAGTTGCCAAATGTCAGCCTCGAAACCTTAATGACTTGGAGAACATCTGCAAAGAGGAGTGGGACAAAATCCCTCCTGAGATGTGTGCAAACCTGGTGGCCAACTACAAGAAACGTCTGACCTCTGTGATTGCCAACAAGGGTTTTGCCACCAAGTACTAAGTAATGTTTTGCAGAGGGGTCAAATACTTATATCCCTCATTAAAATGCAAATCAATTCATAACATTTTTGACATGCGTTTTTCTGGATTTTTGTTGTTGTTATTCTGTCTCTCACTGTTCAAATACACCTACAGTGAGGGAAAAAGTATTTGATCCCCTGCTGATTTTGTACGTTTGCCCTCTGACAAATAAATTATCAGTCTTTAATTTTAATGGTAGCTTTATTTGAACAGTGAGAGACAGAATAACAAAAAATAATCCAGAAAAACGCATGTCAAAAATGTTATAAATTGATTTGCATTTTAATGAGGGAAATAAGTATTTGACCCCTCTGCAAAACATGACTTAGTACTTGGTGGCAAAACCCTTGTTGGCAATCACAGAGATCAGACGTTTCTTGTAGTTGGCCATCAGGTTTGCACACATCTCAGGAGGAATTTTGTCCCACTCCTCTTTGCAGATCTTCTCCAAGTCATTAAGGTTTCGAGGCTGACGTTTGGCAACTCGAACCTTCAGCTCCCTCCATAGATTTTCTATGGGATTAAGGTCTGGAGACTGGCTAGGCCACTCCAGGACCTTGATGTGCTTCTTCTTGAGCCACTCCTTTGTTGCCTTGGCCGTGTGTTTTTTGAGTCATTGTCATGCTGGAATACCCATCCACGACCCATTTTCAATGCCCTGGCTGAGGGAAGGAGGTTCTCACCCAAGATTTGACGGTACATGGCCCCGTCCATCGTCCCTTTGATGCGGTGAAGTTGTCCTGTCCCCTTAGCAGAAAAAACACCCCCAAAGCATAATGTTTCAACCTCCATGTTTGACGGTGGGGATGGTGTTCTTGGGGTCATAGGCAGCATTCCTCCTCCTCCAAACACGGCGAGTTGAGTTGATGCCAAAGAGCCCCATTTTGGTCTCATCTGACCACAACACTTTCACCCAGTTGTCCTCTGAATTATTCAGATCTTCATTGGCAAACTTCAGACGGGCATGTATATGTGCTTTCTTGAGCAGGGGGACCTTGCGGGCGCTGCAGGATTTCAGTCCTTCACAGCGTAGTGTGTTATTAATTGTTTTCTTGGTGACTATAGTCCCAGCTGCCTTGAGATCATTGACAAGATCCTCCCGTGTAGTTCTGGGCTGATTCCTCACCGTTCTCATGAACAGTGCAACTCCACGAGGTGAGATCTTGCATGGAGCCCCAGGCCGAGGGAGATTGACAGTTATTTTGTGTTTCTTCCATTTGCAAACAATCGCACCAACTGTTGTCACCTTCTCACCAAGCTGCTTGGCAATGGTCTTGTAGCCCATTCCAGCCTTGTGTAGGTCTACAATCTTGTCCCTGACATCTTTGGAGATCTCTTTGGTCTTGGCCATGGTGGAGAGTTTGGAATCTGATTGATTGATTGCTTTTGTGGACAGGTGTCTTTTATACAGGTAAAAAGCTGAGATTAGGAGCACTCCCTTTAAGAGTGTGCTCCTAATCTCAGCTCGTTACCTGTATAAAAGACACCTGGGAGCCAGAAATCTTTCTGATTGAGAGGGGGTCAAATACTTATTTCCTCATTAAAATGCAAATCAAATTATAACATTTTTGACATGCGTTTTTCTGGATTTTGTTGTTGTTATTCTGTCTCTCGCTGTTCAAATAAACCTACCATTAAAATTATAGACTGATCATTTCTTTGTCAGTGGGCAAACGTACAAAATCAGCAGGGGATCAAATACTTTTTTTCCCTCACTGTATATTTGGTATTTGACCATCATAACGCCTGGGTTATTACCAGAAAGGGTACAATCTATTATTATTTTTTCACGTGTGTATTTGTGTGTGGGTGAGAGTATGTATGTGTGTCTATGTGTTTGTATGTATACACGTGTGGTGTGTCACTTGAGAGCATGGACACCCTTGCATCTCAAGGGATTATGCAGACGAAATATCTGAATTACTAAATACATAATTTTAAATACTACAGTGTCAGTCACAGGGAATTCGCTTTCACATCACGGATGGCTGCGTGTACAGTGTGGATGTTAGAACACGTGGTTATACCAACGCGTAGTTTCTGGGACACGTGGTTATACGAACACGTGGAGAATGGAGCACGCCGCTATACGAACACGTGGTTATATTAACACATGGATATCAGAATACTTGGAGTTTGGGATAAGTGGTTGCACAAACACGTGGAGACTGGGCCACGAAGAGACTGGGACACGTTATTTTTTTAGCAGTTGCTGGGCACAGACGCAAACGCTCAAGCGGCCAGCAGCAAACAGCACTAACAAAGTTGTAATAGGTAATAGTAAACACGTTTCTTAAATTGAAGGTTATTATAATAGCTTGGGGGGGAAAGACGATGGGAGGAGGGAATTCTAATGTGGAACAGTGCAAGGGAAGAAGCAGAACGAGAAGTGTTGTGACTGGCAGTGTGGTGAGTTTCATGGTGGTTGGGTGAGTGCGCGTGTGAGTGGTTGGGTGGGTGAGTGAATGAGCGCATTCGCGTGTCATCGAGTGGGTGAGGTTGTTGTTGTTGTGACCTGCAGTGTGGTGGTTGACCACAGTGTGGTGGATGAGAGTCCTCAAGACGAGCGGATGAATCAACGAGTGAAGTTCAGAAGAACAGTAACCATGGGAGGAGCAATAGAAGAGTGATACAAACACCTGGATTCTGGGACACGTGGATATTGGGAATTGTGGAAATGGGGGCACGACAATATAGAGACACGTGGGTTTTGGGACACAAGTGTTTGCCGGTCACACATAGTGTTCATGACAGTTGAGGTCACGATCTCCACCTCCATTACCAACTCCACCTCGCCCATTACCTAAGCGATCACATCCATCACCACTTCACCCATCACCACCTCATCCACCACCCAGCACCACCTCCTCCACTCTGCAAAACCGCTTCAAGCGCCTCCATCTGCAGCGGCGCCGGGGGTCGCGGGCGCGGAGTCCCCGTGAGAGGGTCGGGTCGGGCCCCCCGCTGTGAGCCCCTCTCCCTGGGACGCACGGCTGAGACGTCTTAGGGGTTTCGCCGGGGCGCGGCGCTTCACCCCGGCAGCAGCAGCGACGGACACGGGCAGCGGAGATGCTGTTGATGTAGTGCGCGGTGGGGATGTTGATGTTGCGAGTAATGTTGCTAATGATGACGTTGTTGGCAGTGATGATGTTCCTAGTGATGTTGTTGCTAGTGACGATGTTACCCGTGGTGCTGTTGGAAATGATGTTCCGAGTGATGATGTTGATAACGACGGTGTTGCTAATGATTTTGTTGCTAGTGATGGTGTTGCCCGTGATGATGTCGCCAGTAACGATGTTGCTAGTAATGTTGTTGCTCGTGATGGCGTTGCCAGTGATGGTGTTGGTAGTGATGATGCTGGTCGTGATATTGATAGTGCTATGGTTGTCACTGGTGATGTGGTTGCTAGTGATGTGGTTGCTAGTGATGTGGTTGCTAGTGATGATGTTGCTAGGGATGATGTTGCTAGTGATGATGTTGCTAGGGATGATGTTGCCACTAATCTCATCGTGTTCTCTGTCACGATCTGGGTCCGGCCACTATCGCGAGTGTCGGCGCCGGGAGCTATGCGTGGGGGCGCTGGTGCCGGAGATTTTCTGCTGCTGCTGGTGACGGGAGGCTGCCCCCCACGGTCCACGTCGATTTGGGGGGGCGGAGCGGGGGCTCGGGGATGGAGGGGCGGTGGAGGAGGAGGAGGCAGCGTGGGGCGGAGGATCCTGCGGCGGCACGGAGGAGGTCGCGATGTCCCCTGGGCTGGCAGTGACCTCGACTTTAGCTTCATCAGCGCGACTGATGGGGACTGTGTCAGGGTCTGTGTCAGGGTCTGTGTCTGTGTCAGGGTCGGGGTCTGTGTCTTTGGTTGTGTCAGGGTCTTTGTCAGGGTCTGTGTCTGTGTCAGGGTCAGGGTCTGTGTCTTTGGTTGTGTCTGTGTCAGGGTCTGTGTCGGGGTCTGTGTCTGTGTTAGGGTTTGTATCAGGGTCGGGGTCCTTGTCGGGGTCTGTGTCAAGGTCGGGGTCTGGGTCTGCGTCACAGTCTGTGTCTTTGCTCGTGTCGGGGTCTGTGTCAGGGTTGGGGTCCGTGTCTGGGTCTGTGGTGGAATGCCGGGGCGCGGTGGCGCTGCCCTCAGCTTGCAGGGCTGGGGGGAGGAAGAGGGCAGAGGAGATGGGGCCGGTGATGCGCTCAGAGCTCGCAGTGACGATGATGACGATGATGGGGCTGCTGATGACGAGGATGGTGGCGTCCGTGCTGATGATCTGCCCGTCACGTGTTCTGCCCCCAGGGTGACTGATGTCAGGCCCTGACCCCTCCCCTTGGGGCTGTGCTGGGGCGGGGGCGGGGGGTTGCACGGAGGGGGCGGTGAGGGTGAGAGTTGAGTTTTGTGTGGGTGTGGGCATGGGAGGGAGGCCGGCTGTAGTGGCGAGTGTTGGGGTGAGACTGGCCGTGGTGGTGAGTGTTGGTGTGAGTCTGGCTGTAGTGGCGAGTGTTGGGGTGAGCCTGGCTGTGGTAGTGAGTGTTGGGGTGAGACTGGCTGTGGTGGTGAGTGTTGGGGTGATACTGGCTGTGTGTGCGATGGTGGTGATGGCTGTAGTTGTTGCTGCTGTTGCAACTGCTGTTCTGCTGTTGCAGCTACTTGCGGCTGCTGTTCCTCTTGCTCCCCCTTGCACTGGTACACCTGCAGGGGCAGCTGTCGGTAAACAGCTGTCTCCACCTGCTGTTGCAGCTGGCGCTGCGGCAACTTTTCCTTTGCAGCTTGCAGCTGTTGCTCCGTCGGCTCCTGATGCTGTCCATGGGACTGATTTTGCTGCTGCGGCTGCTGCGGCTGCTGCTGTACATTCTGAAGCTGCTGTCCATGGTGCTGATTTTGCTGCTGCTGATGCTGTACATTATATTGCTGCTGTCCATGGTGCTGATTTTGCTGATGTTGTACATTCTGATGCTGCTGCTGTTGCTGCTGGCCGTGGTGCTGAATGAGGCTTCGATGCGGCTGTGTTTGTAATCGCGGCTTGTTGAGTGCAGTCTCTCTGTGCTGCTCCTGCTGCCTCTGGCCGCGTAAGTTGCTTACGTCCATCATGGTGCCGATAATCTCCACGGGGAGCAGATCCCCCGCCAGAGATACGCACGGGCATCCTGCCACATCAGCATCAACGCCACCACCATTAACATCATCACCCCGGTCAACATCATCACCACCATCAACATCAGAACCATCAATATCACCACCGTCAACATTATCGATATCATCGACATCATCACCATCATCATCAACATCATAACCATCAACAGCACCATAGTTACTGCCATCAAAATCATCACCAACGCCATCAACATCATTACCCCCATCATCATCACTGTCGTGTCTCGGATTTTTCCATCCGCGCTAAAGATGGCTGCTATTATTCCTGTTCTTCATAAAACTTCACTTAATCCCAATAATTTGGCAAACTTTCATCCTATCTTAAATAAATATTCCTTTTTTGTTAAAAGAGTCTGGAACGTGTCGTGTTTAATCACCCCACCAAACATCTTAATCAGCACGGACTTTTATGACCGGGTTCGATCCGGGTTCGATCTGGGTTCGTGGAAGAACGAAAAGCCAAGCCCAAGACTCTTTAGCATCAGCCAATGGAGGCCCTGCTCTGTACACACACCTCGGTCTCCGTTGCTTTCTTGTGCTGATCGGCTGTTTACTGTGGTGGACACCCGGTTGTGGAACTCCCTACTGGTGACGTTCCATAGAGGAGGCGTTGCGAGGGGAGGTGAGGAGGTGTATTGGAGGAGGTGTAGGTGAGGAGGTGGAGTTGAGGCGGATTGGAGGAGGTGGTGAGTCGATGTATGTCCAGATAAGGAGATGAGAAGGTGGAGGTAATGAGGTGGAGGTAATGAGGTGTAGGTGAGGAGGTGGAGTTGAGGCTATTGGAGGAGGAGGTGGTGAGGAGATGTTTGGGGTAGGTCGAGATAAGGAGACGAGAAGGCGGAGGTGCGGATATGAGGAGGTGGAGATGAGAAGGTGGAGGTGAGGTGTAGTTGACGTGGAGATGAGAAGGTGGAGGTGAGGTGTAGTTGACGTGGAGATGAGAAGGTGGAGGTGAGGTGTAGTTGACGTGGAGATGAGAAGGTGGAGGTGAGGTGTAGTTGACGTGGAGATGAGAAGGTGGAGGTGAGGTGTAGTTGACGTGGAGATGAGAAGGTGGAGGTGAGGTGTAGTTGACGTGGAGATGAGAAGGTGGAGGTGAGGTGTAGTTGACGTGGAGATGAGAAGGTGGAGGTGAGGTGTAGTTGACGTGGAGAAGAGAAGGTGGAGGTGAGGTGTAGTTGATGTGGAGATGAGAAGGTGGAGGTGTAGTTGACGTGGAGATGAGAAGGTGGAGGTGAGGTGTAGTTGACGTGGAGATGAGAAGGTGGAGGTGTAGTTGACGTGGAGATGAGAAGGTGGAGGTGAGGTGTAGTTGACGTGGAGATGAGAAGGT